AGGATTTTACATTTGCAGCATTTGTTACAAAACAAACTCCAAGTAATTGTGTTAGTCATGAGACAAATCATGAGTTCTCATTATCAAATTTTCATCTAGGCTATTTTTTACACTTACTTACACTACATGCTCACCAAGTCTAAGTGTTTTGAACCAGTTTTTTCTTCGTGTATTATATATATTGAAAAAACCCAAACCTTTAAAAGTAGCACTTTGTAGAAGAAACCTCAGTGTAATTTCCAACTGTTTGACATTCTGATCAGTGAAAATCTTATCACAATGCCCAGTCCCCAATGTTCAGCCCTATGTGGAGTTCTGACTGAAAGGATCTGATTTTAGTGGCATGATTATGCACACAGCATTAATAAAAAGTAGAGTATGGCTATAAATCAGGGCTTGTACTAGTACCCAACTAAGCACTCCAAGTACAAAGTTTGGTTTCTACCGTTAAAGGACTTTGTGAACAATAGGAGTCTGCACTGCAATAACTGCATGTTTGTATCATCAGATGGAGGGAAGATGTAGATTGACGGGGGGAAGGCTGAAAGGAGGAAAGCTCTGAGCTCCCAAAGATTTGCTTTTGCTCTTGTCAGAGGAAGCACAAAGTTTAGCCTAAATCACTGCAGCCTTCTTCATGAACTGAAAACACATTTCCAACCACCTGAGCTAGAGACAATGTCACAAGCCATGAAAGGAAAATGTCCAGGTCAAAAAAACTATAGGTTTTGACTGCCCTGGGAATAGCGGCATGTTACAAACTGGAGGAAACGTGCTGTTTCAAAAGCTGTAGGCTTCTGTGTGCTTGAGGTGAGATATACCAAGTAACGAACTCCTGCAATAGCACCTTGGGCTACTGAGTGTTTTACTTGAAGCTCCATTTCATCAAGTCACCGACCAAAGACCTATGGAAGGCACACTGGAGCTCAGTGGAGCATTTTAAAGCTCCTTCATACCTGCCAGCCAGATCCTGTAGCCCTGGCCTGGGATGCTATCAGGGGTATACTACCTGCCTTGGGTCCTGTGCACCAGGAAGTTAAAAGACAACAGCTTCTGCTCTTAATCCGGGTCTTGCTGAAACCTGCTTCCCATCGTAGTCCTGAATTTCTGGGAATAATCTACATATACTCTGATAGAAGCTAAGGGAATCACAGGCTATTCCTACAGTTTGTTCCTTTGAAAATTGATATCCTCAGAGAAAACTCAGGTGAAACAGGCCAAGAGGAACTTCGTACCTTGTTATCCCAAGGGATACTCCTTAGAGGATCCTGTTCTGCTTCATGTTTCTTTGGCCCTGACTGCAGCCAACTTGACTAAACCATGAAGAGCTATGAGCCATCTCTGCTGGTGGTATAGGGCTATTAGACTTTGGAGCGAAACGTGTTTCTTGCAAGTGGCTCGACGTGCAGACAGTCCTGGGAAGAAAAACAGACCTAAGCAAAGGCCACCCCCCATGCCCCTTAATGTCTGTCTATACGCAGGTCTTAAAAAAAATGATGTTGCTGCTCGAAGCACCTTACTGACAATAAATCCTTCCTCATACATCCTTTTAGTGCTAGCGCCCTCAGGCAATGGCAAATGGAAAGAGTAAGATTTCAGGCTCTGTAACAAGGAATTCCTGTTTTCAAAAGGCCAGACACAACAGCTGGGAAATTTTTTGTTATTGCTGCTTTGTGTCAGCTCTTACCCATTCCTGGAGGGGGGTGTAGTTTCTGAAGCCTAATAGCACTAGAACCAGGCTGAGCAATCTTTGAATTACGTTTTGGCTGACATTTCATGGAGAAGGGAGTGTGTGTCCTAACAAATAGCTAGATGTGTATTTTCTATCTGTATATAGCTACACATGTCTTGGGGGAAGGAAGTGAGGCGGGTAACTCAGCATGTCTAGCTTTCAAAATGCTGATTCAGGAGACTGGAAGCTGCCCCCACAATGCTGTTCTACCAGACCTTGCCCAGTTTTCAGCCAAGAGGAGTCCAGGGGTGCCCATGGAATCTGTTGAAGGTGAGGGTCCAGCCTGAAAAGCAGCACTGCTAGCAGCACTCCTGGGCTGTAATTATTAGCAGATTTAGGTTTGTGGTATTTGCATTCCCAATGCTTCCCCTGCCTTACCCCCTCTCAGAAAGCTGTCTCCTCCTCCTCACATATACGCCGAGCCTCTTTGGGAATACACATTTCCATGGGCAGGAGCAGTGGAGAAGTCCTTGTGCTAGCCCAGTTGTCTCCTGGAAGCTGCTCCTTGCTTTCTCCAGTACCACATTTCCATTACAGCACGAGGGGACTTCTCTGTCCTCTCACAGGTGCTTTTGCCCTTGGATCCTGCCAGGAGCAACAAAAAGATGTTATTTTGCTGGCATCTATAGTGATAATGTGGCTGCTCACATACATACATACATACATACACACATGCCCACAAGCATCTTTCCCCAGGCTCTTTTTCAAGACACACATGTGCACAGCAGAGGAGGGAATCTCCTCATTTCCAGGAAAAGCAAACAAAGCTGTCTGAGCATTTAGCCCCTGGACAGGAGGTGAGACCTTCCACAGGTAGGATAGAGTACTGGAGACTTGAGACTAAGCAAAGTGTTTTATCCATTCTTCACTGCCCTCCTGGGCATGCTGTTAGAGGCTTTGTCCTGGGTTTGCCATCCTGAGTATGCTCTGCCATGGGCAGGGAGTATCCAGCCTCATGAGCAGCATCAAGACATGGAGTAAAGGAACAGAGCCTCTAACCCTTAAGACTCATCCCCTGATTACAAGTTTGAGGCACTTTGGAGCCATGATCATCTTTTCTAGACTTTGCACCCTGATCATTGTGCTTTCACAAGTTCCTTGGGTCTGAGCCTGAGGAGGAAGATCTCCTCCTCTTCCTCCCACCCTTCTGAACCAACAAATGCAGGCGGTGGGGGCATTTCTCAGCACTTTCCTATAGGATCTTGAAGGGGCTCTGCAGCAAGTCCCTGTGGCTGGGTCTGCCCGTCTGCTTGTCTGTCTGCCTCTCTCATGTGGGGATCAGGACTCTGCTGAGAAAAAGCAGATAGGGTTTCACACAATCCAAAGCACATGTACAGTAACTAAAGCTGCATAAGCACTTTTCTTTCCTAGGGAAATTTTCCAATCTGTTTCAAAAGAATGTGAAAATATTCCCCCTCCTTTCTTGCCTGCTTCCTATAAATCTAGCCTGATGCAGGTGATCCCCTTGGATGCTTTTCTCCAAGTGGTACGTAAGGCTCAAAAAAAGGCAACATTGGGAATTTATGCCTTGAGCAACCAGTGCAGAGCAAGTCCTTAGAAAAGGCTTATCAGTCACAGAAACCACTTAAGGATAATCACACGTTATTTCTGTAAGAAAACATGCTCAAGCACTTCAGTCCAGTGAAAATGAATGTGTTTGGGGTTATTTTCCTCTGTCTAAGCATCATCAGATGTTTACATCCTCCATAGGCAATTCAGTGTTTTGGACATTCCCCCCTCCTCCAGGAATGTCCATGCAAAAGGAAATTTCTCCATGGGAAGTAGTTTGTCTAAAAGCCATTTTCATGGGGGAGAAGAAAAGGAAAGCCTTGACCAAACACTTCTGACCAGCTGCTGAAATGACCTTCAGAGAGCTGCCAAAAGCAGAGTTTGGGGGAAGTGTGGGGGGGAAGGCAAAGATAAGGTATGATAAGCAATGTCCACTGCCTACAGATAGGCTTCTTGTTGCTGGCAACTCCAGCTGGGGAATGAGCCTTCAGGATGGTGCCCCATGAACATGGGGCCAGTGTGCCCCGTTGATGCTGTGATGGCTGACCCCAGACTATGTGTCCTTCACTTTTCAGATCTGCCTGTGCTGAAGTGGGTACGTCCATGCACGCTAACATGTGAGCACATGCTCCTATAGAATCCTGCTTCTTCCACCCGTCCCTGAGGGCTGAATGTAGCCCTCATTCAGGGTGGAGGGATGCTGGCTGTGAGCAAGGACCCGTGGTTAGGGTTGTGTGGGAAGCAGCTATCCCTGGAGAAATGGCTGAGGAACACATTCGTATCCCCATTTTTGCACTGTAGATGCCCAACACAAAGCTGAGTCACTCCAGACAGACTTGCAGGAGATGGTTTCCCCTTTAACTCTAAAAGGATTTGCTGGGTTAGAACTATTATTCTGAAAAAAACCACCCAAGCCCCAAGCTCCAGGAAAAGCCTCCTCCTCCAAACACTGTATACATAAAGTTATGGAGAAGGAATGCTAAACTTGCAGTGTTTCTGGTGGGTCACCACATTCATCTGCAGACTTTGTGTTCTTGAAAAATGCCATCAAAAGTCTGCACACAGTTCTTGTTATGGCCATTTTTTTTCATATCCAGATTTAAACTACGGATCCATTTACACAGTAGAAGGAAAGCTGTAGGATTTTCAAGAGGTTAAGTTCCAAAACCCTTTCCAGTGTCTTGGTCTGTACAAGGATGCATGCTGGTATGTGTGTATGTCTGCATTCGGAAGACAGCAGAGGTGATGAGAAGGAATACACGTTTGGGCTTTCTTCCCAGTTAATGTCAGTTGGCATCACTGCATTGTGTATTTGTGTCTATTTATACCCACTGAGGAGCTACAGTTATGGCTTTATGCAGGAAGCTAAACCTAAGAGCTATTAACAAGCCTAAGCAGTTGAATTCAATGCTCAGGGGCAGGGGGGACAGTTCTGATACTAACTGGGAGGAGGGCTAGACTTGAGAAATAGTAACAGGAGACAATTTTCACCTTATTACTCACCTTATGGAAACCAAGCCTTTTAAAATATGCCTCATGATAGAAGCCACAAAATGTTATTAATGAAGGAAAAGGCTCTCTGGGACTTAGAGCAGCTTTCAGTCCTGGAAAGCAAAAATACACACAGACTTCTCTATTTTTCTTGCAGACAGCCCCAGATCAGAAACGCCTGACACCAAACTTGCCAAAATTGTTCAGACATGCTCAAAACCAGAAATAGAAATGGATTGTAGTCCCAGAAATGAGAGGGGTCAGAAGCTACTAACCAGAACCTTTCTTTGATCTCTTTTACAGGTAACTTAGTTCCTGGATAAACCTCATGCTCAGCATCCCCTAGAGAGTGGTGAGAGACAGGAATCCTGCATGGAGAAACTAAGGCAGGCAGCTGCGAAATGACTTCTTACAGTCACACTGCGGGTCAGGAGCAGGACTGCAAAGGAAATCTGCATCTCCTGGATCCCAAGGGCATAGAAATGCTGAAACGGAGGTTACGCAGAGCCTGCAGGAAAGAGCTGAAGTGAGGTAAAAGGCCTGATCTGTCATCAGCTTGCTCTCCCATGCCTCACTCCAGAGCAGCAAAAAAGCAGATTACAAGAGGGCAGAATCCTTCCCATCCCTCCCAGCTGGGGCTGGAGCTGATGTTTCTTCTCGTCATCCAGCAAAGCCCATTGCCCGGCTGTGGTGGCCTCTGCTCTGGAGCTCAGGTGCAGGGTGGAGAAGGTGAAGACAGGATTCCTGCATCTCCAAGCAAGGAGACAGCTTCCAATTTAAAGGGAAAAAAAGCACAGAGGGAGCTATGCGGTCCCATCCCCAGCAGCAACTGCTCCAGCCAGAGCTACTTCCCACCATAGTGTTGTTTTATAATCACATCTAAGCTGTAAACAGTCTTCCCTCTGGTACAGCTCTGTCCCTCCAAGCCTGTTGCAGGGAGGCCTGGTAAGGGTTTGTCTGAATCTGGACTCAGCATGCAAGCCTCTGGCAGAGAGGGAAAAAAGCTTTCTTCAGGAGCTCACATCCAGATCTCAGTCTCAGTCTAGTTATTATTCACAACAGATTTGCCTGGAAATGACTACAAACATGAGCAAAAAGTACCAGACTCTGAGGATGAGCATGCAAGCAAACTTCCAGGACAAAAACTCTGCCTGTCCTGCTCTTTTTGGGAGAGGCTGGAAAGGCACAGAAGCCCTTTTCTCACTGTCGTCTAACAGTATGGAACTAAACCACCCAGGACCTAATGCAACTCCCAGGCATGAAATTTCCTTTAATATCTGGCCTCTTATATTCACCTTTTCAGCAGTCTGATTTCTAAGTGGTGCACAGAGTTCATAAATGGTCAGTGGAGCTCTATGAGCACTTTACCGATGGGAAAATTACACACAACCAGCAGCAAGCTGCTGGGTGCTATCCATTGATTACTCATTTGTTACAACACAGGCCCCTTTCTACCACTTATAAATAAAAAACATGCTATAAAATGTAACTCTCTTGGAAAGCATGGAAGTGCATGCAGATGAAATTCTTTCCCAGACATGGAGGTGACCTGTATTTACTGTAAACATTATCCCACATGTATATTTGAAAATGAAACAAGGGTTCCAGGCAGAGCTTCCCTGCAGTTGGAGGTGAAGTCCGGTGCCAAGGCTTGCTCCAGCCCCACTTTCACAGAAAACCCCAACTTTCTTTGGATCACTCTGTACGTGTTACAGACAGGGTGGTGGAAAGGTTCATTTGCACAGACATCAGATGAGGCTTACTCACAAGTGTTACTCACCAGCCACTTGCTTTTGGGGAAGGAGAAGTTCAAGCCCCGTTCTTTGCTCAGACCCAAGGAACAGCCGCAAACAACCTTCAAGTGAAAGGGCTGGGTTCGATTCAAGCCCATGTACCCTGCGGTTTGTATAAAGAAGCAACATCAGTTGGAAGGAATTTCTCTCAGCTGAAAGTCAGGAAACACATTTATGACTCTCAAATGGTCTAGGTATTTCTCAATAAGCACAAAGATAGTTCTCTAGAGAGAGGAGCAGGGGGAATCCTTCCCTGCTGTCAGGTGTTGGCTATATGACTAGCAAACCCTGTTCAGCAAAACACCCTGACTGCATGCACAACCTCAAACGGCATAAGCTGTCTGTAACAGGTGGCTAAGCCATGCCTCAGTGAATGAAGATCCTAGCGAGTAAATTCTCTGTGAAGGAGTTACTAAGGAGTTGCTAACTATTGTTTGCTATATATGTTGTACTGACTGTGGGTTTTTTTTCACTTGTGTAAATGAGAAAAGGAGGCATTTGGCATTTTTAGGGAGGGTATGGAAACTCTTTTTTCAGGAATGGCCCTACCTGCCTTTCTTTGCTGCCTGCCTTTTCTGATGCTCAGCATAAGCGAGGAGTCAGAAGTCTGACTTGTAGATTTAACCAGCATCCCATTCCCTTTATGTGGGCTTGCAATTCCCAGTCAGGCTTTTGTATCCTAAACTCATATTCCAGGTGAACAAAACCAGACACTGCCAATTTGAAGTTTGAAGCTTGCCCCATTCTAAGAGAGGCTCAACAGGAAACTCATCTTGCTTCAACCTAAAGTTTAGGAGGTCCTGCTGACATTAAAGAATGCCTGGATCTAGATTCAGCTCAGTCCTATCTGTGCAAGAACATCTGCAAACACAGAGCTGAAGCCTGAGGGCACTTGTATGACAGCCTCTTCTCCTGGGCTTCCCAGCCCAGTCCCATAGCTTTGAGAGAATGAGGATCCAATTAGCCTGTAGAGTATAACCAGTTGTCCTTGTGGCTGTCAGTATAAAGCAGCGTAGAGAGTTCTGTAAATGAAAAATTATCTAAACCACATTTTAACTAAAAAATACAGAAGAAAGGGAAAGACCATTTAAAATATTCCTCCCCTGCTATATAGACTCTGTTTCCTATTAAAGGCAACTGTATGCAGCATTTCTGCTTCCTGTTGTGTAATATGGAATGTTAAAAATCCCAATAGCACTTAAGAAGTTATTAGAAAGTCCAGAGAGTTTTCTATTCCCAAGAAATCTCTCCCAGTGAGAAGCAGGAAAAGTTCCTGTTGAATTTACAGCAAATACCTCAGACCCTATGTAATATTTATGGTCTTCCTCTCATCTTATCCAGGCTGGTTTGCTGTTTTGCTGCTGTGAAAGAAAAGCCTGTTTCAATGGTTAAAGGCTGTGACGCTCACTTTGAAGCATACTGAAGTGGATATGATAGCCACAGGAAATGTTCCAGTCTCACTGGAGTACCTCAGAGATGTATCTCGCCAAATGAGAATTCTCTAATCTGATTCCCAGGAAAAAAAATCACAGTAAGTTAATGAAGAAAGAGAAAGAAATGTGACATATCTGCATTCATGGCTTGCCAGATCAGGATTCCAGGAAAGCCAGAGGAAAAATTCCCATTTGCTTTCATGGGAATAGGATTTTGACCCCAAAGAACTCCATTCAAAGACAGTTATGCTACATTCTTAAACACTGTGAGAATTAGGTGGTATCCATTTGCATTAAACAGAAGCCACTGCATGATATGATGTGGATGTGTATTTGTATGGTCACAGGCTACAGACACTATAGCTCTTCTTGTTAGCAGATCTCTGAAATGTCTCATAGGGGCAGTGAAACAATCTAGTAGTGTTGTCCACCACTTCATTCCTGAGTCAAGCCAAGATGCCACCTCCAAATTGCTGGTTCAGTATTGCTCCACATATAAAAGTGCCTGAGCTGTAACAACTGCAGAATAAATTTCTTCTCAAAAGTTGCTCTAACTTTGCTGCCTGCAGAAGAAATGAACTCACAGTGGAAACAGTTGAGTATTCAAACCTGTTGGAGAGAGAGGAGATAAAGGAAGGATGCTTCCTTTGGGTTGAGCTTGGTACAATATAGAAATGATAAACAGATGATGTATGTGTACTGACAGCTCCTTTAGTGAATATTTCTGCAGTCCTATTTACAGCCTAAACTTTCAGAATAGAGACTAGGGCTAAAAGTCCATGTTTACCATAATTCACATGTGCTAAGCACCCAAAAGCTTTCACTATTCCTTAGGGAAGATGCTGGATGCACAATGCTTTTTAAAATGTAGGCATTTTCTGAGGAGTTGTGAAGCTTGTAACCAGAAGGAGCATGTCCCAGTGGTGCTGAAGGCATCAGTCACATTGAAAGGTGAGGAAATGGGACATGGCACCTGGATGAAAGGGATGGAATGAGCAAAGAAGCAGCCAAGAGGCTAAAGATGAATCCTGGCTGTGAAGTCTGCTAGATGGTAGCATCAGCTCTCAAAGGGAACAGCCTGAGCCTGAGTCATTGGAAGGTGGTCCGAGCAAAGTCCTGGAAAACATTTCCAAGATTAACCTTCTCTGTTCTCTGTGGATGAGCGACACAACCCAACAGGTCACAACCCTGTCTCCTGCTGTCTCTACAAACACAGAGAAGATTATGTGGGAAAGAGAAACCCGCATTAGCTGTATCCTTGACGGCAAATTATAGTTCAGAATACAAAAAGTCCTAGGAACAAGAAACAGCAGGGGTGCTAAGCCTACATGTTCATTTTTAGTCTCCTTTGCGTATTCACACGTACACAGGAAGAGAGCTTATTGCACCAAATAAACCACAACCCTGCTTTAGACATGGACAAGTAGTCCCAAACGAGTTGAAGGTGATGTTGCAGGGAAAGAAAGAAAAATTTAGTATGATGTCTCAAGAGACATATAGAGTGGAGAAGATGCGAAGCCCTTCATCCAGAAGGCAAACTGATGGAAGAGCCATAGAACAAGAAGAAATAGTAGCTGTTCCACACTGAAAAGCAGAGATACTGAGGGAACAGGTAAAAAGATTAAAGTTGGTGTCTGGTTTTATTTAACAACCTCATTAATTCCTTGAGAATAAAAAGGAAGGAGTACATTCACATCTGAAATGACTTTGAAACATGCACCCAACATCCGTGTTGCACTGAGCACTCTGAAATATGAGGAGGGAACAGTGAAACAAGACTCAGTTTAGGGTAGTGAATGGGGGGGAGGAAAGGTGAATGGGCCGCATGGAGAGTGATCCAAAATACAGATATTCAGTGGAAGAAATACAATCTGAAAATGGGGATTGGGGTGGAGGTTATCATCTGAGACACAGATTTGTAAAACAGTAAGTGAAGATGGTTATAATTGATTTGTATGTAACTGCTGTGTGCATTAGAAATGGAACATCTCTGGCAAAGGGATCACCAGTGAGACTATGTGGAAATTACTGGTGATTCCAACCCTGAAGGGGAAAAAAGAACTCCAGCAGGTATAATAGGAATAATTAAGGGATAAATGCATATGATTATATGACACATTGAAATAGTTACATTTAGAAAACCCTTAAGAAAAGGTAAATTTACCCTTTGAGAGCTGTGATATCACTGCTCCAAGAACGTTCACAAGCCCCCACTAGGCACTGGGTATTCGTTCAGGAAAATATTCCACATCTCAGCCTTTCATAACCCTAGTAAGAGACGTAGGATGTGGGACAAGGCAACCACAGTGCAGAGATACAGTCATCGATACTGAAGACATGTATCAGCGCTCTGGTATGCAAACCTCATCTTTAGCCAGGCTATACGCCTGCTTACCTATTAACTAGGTTTTAAGATTGCATCTGTGAGTTTACTCCTTTGGTGACATGGGGAGAAGCTGAGTTTAAGGAGAAATTGTCCGTCTCTGCATATGAGATCTTCTGACTTGTTTATAGTTTTCTTTCCTGGGGTGGTTTTGCTGCTCATGGCTGTCAGTTACAGTCAGAGCATGCAGTGAGAAGGAACTGATGAAAATGCTGTTTGGGATATTCACTGGAATATCAGAGCACTTCAGTCTAGCAGCCCAATTAGACTAGATGAAGCACTTGAGGAACAAGAGCTTAATGCAGGAAGCAAGTCTGCACGGAAGAAAGCAAAGACTGGCCTGGTTCACATCATCAGCAAATCCTGCACCCCCGGGAATCTTGGATTTATCCAACACTCTCCATGGAAGCAGGATCTGAGCTGGGGTCTGGGCTCTGTTGGCAGTAGATATTACGTGGTTCAGGCCATTTAGACAACATGGTGTAAGAGAGCTATCTTTCAAGCAAGATGTTTGGGAATTTCTTGTGGGACTAATGCATTGAGAGTTAGCCAGAGAAGTGCTGAATTCAACATACATTCCTCTCACCACCTCATTACCTCCCAGCCATTCTGCCTCTTGTTTGTTTAAATGGAGCTCCTGAAGACAGAAGATGCTCATTAGGAGCCTGGTATGATAAACATAGCACTTGTACACTTGCCTAATTTGATACATCTGATGAGCCAGAACTTCATAAATGCAAACTTCTACCAAAATTACTTAGACTCGTTTTCTGTCTTCCTCAGTATATTCTATGGGCTGATCTCATGACATTCTCCTTTGTGCCAGGCTTTTTGTGTATCTGAACTTTCTTTTTCCAGTAGAAGCCTCCAAGCTGGGCTCTTCTCAGGCACTTTACACATATTATTTCACTGCTTCAGGGGAATGGTTCAAATTATTATTTTTCAGCTGAGATGCAAAGACTAATTCATTCAAGACCACTTTTTTGTGTGTGACAATGCAGATTCCTTTGTGGCACTTGAGGAGATAGAATGCATACAAAGTGCTGTGGGAAAACCAGGGAGCTAAAAGCAAGCATTTGCACACAGGAAACAATTGGTGCTCTGCAAGTAGAGTGAAGTTATGTGCTTTCAAATGTATCCTATGTACTCTTTGGGGATAACCTAATTGTCAACTTCGGATGATGGGAGAGAATACAAGATACTAGACACTGAGTAGGAATAATGAGTGACAGATATAAACCTGAGCAGAAATCCTTTGCTGATACTAACCAAATGAAGCCAACAGCACTAGTCAATGCCAAGAAATTGGCTGCTGATTTTGTGGCCAAGCAGCATGACCACCCTCAAAGCTGCTCCAGCAGTGAGGATCAGCATTATGTCATGAAGCTCAGGAAGTGATGTTAGTCCTTTGCCTTGAAAACCAGCCGCCTGTGTCTCTTGCCAGTCATTGTTGAGCCAAGCAGCTTAGGAGCTGGGGTGACATGGACCTCCTATCTTCAGCTGTCTGCCCTGGAGGGAACATGGAGGGGTGACCTCCTACCTTCAGCCTTCCACTCAGGATGGAATACATTCAGGAGAGGGAAGATTGAAAGAGCAGCCTTTAGTGGGCCAGAGTAGGGCTGGGACGCCATGGCTTCGAGAAAGGCAGGAGATCTCTGCTCTGGCGTTTGTGCCAGGGATGATCTCACCTCTAGCTCATTGGAAACCAGGCTTAGGTGCTTCTGATCTTTCCTGGGATGGACAAACTGGACAGTGAGGCCTGGAGTTGGTCACATGCCAGGAGGCTCTGGATGTCATCATCCATGTGTCAGCATGCAGGGCTTACAGCTGCAGAGACTGCTTCATGGCTGTAATCCCAGAGAAGGGGTTCAGAGTAGCTGAGAGATATGCCAGGTAGATGCCTACAGTTAAATGCAGTGAATGTAGGTCTTAATGACAGCCCAGAAGATCAAAAGCAAGCAGCTGAGGCTCTGAGCAATACATGACTCTTTCTTCTCCTGCTGGCAAAGTGTGGCCAATGCTTAGGGCTGCACTCCCACCACTGATCTGCATGTCCTGGACACTGATGCAACCATATCTCATTGCCATGGCCCCAAATAGCAGTGAGGAAAGCAAGCTGCCCTGGAGGACACAAGAGAGATCACCCATAACAGTATGGCAAACAGCAAATCAGTGTAGGCAGTGGGATGTCATGGCACAAGGGGAAACATTTGGAAGGGTGAATCCAGGTTTATTTCCATCCACCACTCACAAAAGAAAAAAAGGCGGATCATTTCATGGCTGTAATCATGATATTTGACAAGTAGCTTAGATTCACTTACAAAGTAATCTTAGGAAGTAAATAGCTTTGTTCTGGTGCACTTAATTTAAAGCACTTGATATGCTTTAACACATTCTAGCAGATTGCACTTAATGTCTAAAAAATAAGGGTTTCCAATCTCCACAGAGAAGAAAAGTTGTACCAGCTATAAACTGTGAAAACTCACCTCCTTCAGCCAGTTCTTAGGGAGAAGAAACAATTCCTGTGCCTTAGGAACCAATGCAGCCAAAGGAACTTGAATTGCAATGCACCAAATACCTGGATGGATGTTTTGTAAACCAACTCATGTGTGATTCGAGAAGTCACAATAACAGCAAAGAAGAGTTAATGTAATAAAAATCATGGTCTGCCCGCACAGTTTATTAGGGGCCTCAGGAAAGGAGAGAAAAATAGAGGAAAAAAAAAAAAGACAAGAAGGAATCAGTTTGGAAAATACGATTGTTTTTGAAACGTTTGCCTAGCAACAGCCCAACAAATGCTGTAAGGATGGCTTTATTTCATATTCCCATTGCAATACCACAGAGTGTTTCGACACTAGCCAGCTCTCACTCTGAAATCCACCCTGGTGACCTCAGCTGCCCTGATCTGATCCTTGGGCATCCCATGGCTTCTATCACATCCCCTTCTCAAGCTGACTGCAGTGCTGCCTGGCCATGGGGGATCAGAGTTCCATCTGTTTCCGCTTGCCTACATTGCAACAACCTATTCTTCCCAGTTGCTCTTGCTTGGCACAACGGAAGAAAACAACTCGATGTGCCAATTTCCTTCCCTCTGCTCCCGGCGTCGCACTGATGCTTCCCAACTCTGTACACTTGCCTCCGCTTGACCTTGCTTTCCCAACAGGCTGTCTGATCTTGCCAATGAAGAAGCCAAAGTTAGGTCAAGTTCTTACCTCCTTTCTTGTTGGATGCAGGAAAGAAATCAAAGCCCAGGTAAAATCTCTTCCCCGTGGACTGCTGTTTACTTTTCCCATCATCTCACACATGCCGGTCCCCAGGCTTTGGGAACATGTCTTTGCTTTTCAGTTGGGAACATGACTTTGCTTTTCAGAGCAGGCTCATAAATTTGAGTCCAACAGCAGAAACAAATCAGGGAATTTAAACAAAGTCCACTGGAGCTGCTGGGAAAAGAAAGGCATTAATCTCTCAGAAATTTAGCCTGAAATGAGTTTCGGATCCATTTGTATCCCTGCTTTCCCATGGAGCTCAGATGCTGAGAGCATAACCAGTGGCCATGCTGCGAGAAGCAGACAGTTGTGTGCATGATAGAGAGATACAGGATGGCATACCACTTTCCCAGCTGCTTATGTTGCTAATGAGATGGGTATACCAGCATGTTCAAAACCGGGGTGGATTTAGGTGCCCCTGTCTCTTGCAGCTGCAAGGCACAGCTCAGCAATGGAATCTGAAGAAAACCTCAGACTCTTGGATCGCCTGCTAAGCTCTGTGCTCAGCAGGAGCTGTGAGAGGCAGTGTCTTGGGAGAACAGCCAGCTCTCAGAGCTCCTGCTGAGCTCTGAACTCCAAGGAAGCTGCAGTCCAGCAGTCTACATCCAAACATATCTCTCCTATCTACTTTCTTCTTTCCTTTGCCAATAGAACAGTGAGTCTCATCATAGGCACCAAGGGTAGAATCATAGAATCCCAGACTGATTTGTGTTGGAAGGGACCTGAAAGCTCATCCAGTTCCAACCCCTACCATAGGCAGGGACACATTCCAATAAATCAGGTTGCTCCAAGCCCAGTCCAACCTGGCCTTGAGTAGGAACAATTCAGCCCTTCAGGATCAGTGCTTTCTGCCTTGGTGCCTCACTGCCCCATTGGTCAACAGGGACAATAGCTCACCGCTATCTTACAGGGGTACTGTAGAGCCAGCAGTTTAAACACTGGGTATTCTGGTGATAGACACATCAATGCATGTTAGATAAAGATGCCACTGGAGACAAACTCCTAGCAGGAAGCATTTTGTGGGTCATCTCCTAATGTGCCCCATCAGCAGAGAAGCAGCACATGCCCAGGCAATGGCTGATGTGTCTGGAACAAAAGCTCAGCAAGGCAGACATGAGCATGAACTTGCTTCATTAGCTTACACACATTTGAAGCAAAAGCAGCTCAGTAGCTGTCGTTGGGTGGCCAAAACCTGCTTTTATGAGCCCAGCTGCATGGAGCTGGGACTGCAAGTTGCCACCTCTGTTCTCCAGGTCCAGGTCCTGCAGACTTGGTTCCACAGTAACTGGAACCAGATCTATGTACTTGCAACATGGATGTAGCCTTCATCACAGCAGCTCACACAATCACATTTCCATCGGCTAATACAGAGTATATGAAATGGAATTTCACCTGGCTTCATGCTTTTATGTTAGCTTTGTCCTAGCTGTCAAAAATCAGACACTTCCTAACTTAGCATAACATTTGCCAGTGCAGGGTTCATCCAGTTGCACTTTTTAGAACATTTTTGAGGTAGAAAAGTGACTTTACATGGGATTGTCTTGTTTTGCATCATGCTGCTATCATGGTTTGATCTAATGCTAGGAACCCAAGAGCTGGTTTTACCATACCACTGAATCATGGTCTTCATGTCCCTATCACAAATCAGAAGCAGAGGGGACAATAGCTAATTAGTTACTATCTGCAAAGCACCCTGAAGCCCACAGAGAAGCATGGCAGTAAGTGGTAAGTGTTACTTCTTATTCTCCGAGTTAACAGTCCTTTACTTTGCAGTGTATCTTTGACTGTAGCCATCATACTCTTCCTACCTTCCCAACTCCCAACCACAGAGAGTTACAATACAGAATACATCTGTTTCCTGTTTCACAAACTGCAATTGCACATTTCCAACAGGCACTCTCATCTGAGATTCAGAGGCAAGCAGTTTTATTTACAAGCAGTACGTGTTCCTGAACCTGTCTGTCTCCTTTGCATTGTACAGCCTGCTGAAAACGAATAGCAGAATATAGCAGAAATGACTTTCTGGTTTTTGGAGAAGTTTGCATCATCCCCCTTTTCTCTTACTGCTGTTAAAAGTAAATAGGTATCTGAGATACCCAGGTATATTTAACAGAAATAAATGATTTACACAATATAGACAGAAAAGACATGCAGCAACTATTTATACCTGCTATGAATATTCCTTAATAAGTTATTATAAACATTGTTCTTTGTCATGAGAACCTGTGGGCCAAGTAGGAGTATCATTGCACCACTGAAGCGAGGCCAGTGAGTAAAATCTTGGCCAAAAGAAAGTAGAGGTCAGAAGGTCCCAGTAACTTGGCTACAGGCTACATCACACACTTCAGCAGAAATCTCTCATGAGCATCATCTTTCACCTATCTGGAAGTGAAAGGAAATGTAAAAACCAAACACCCTTCATGTATACTATTGTAAATGATGACTTCGGGATGAGACTTGTGGCTGTGTATACCAGTGTAACAAGTCACCACTCTTGCCTACTGAGCCACAGCAATTTACTGTCAAGTAGAGAAGCAACACAGTCCCATTCCTGAAGATTTTCACCCAGTTTCTCTCCATCCCAGGTGGGGAGGCTCTGAGCACACCCTTACAGTATCTGCACCTCACCTGATGAGTGGTAATTTATTAAGCTGCTGAAAATCAGTTCTGCGTCTGGGCCCATCAGCTGTCATGCACTTGATGAAGTTATCCTAATCTGAGAGAATAAGCCAACGTGGTGGTATCCAGGCAGCACCGTCTGAAAAGGACACACTTTTTAACATACTGCACACAGAGGCAGGGCTGTTGCCAGCAGGCTTACAAACAGACAGGTTTTGCAAAATACACCTATTCAGGTCTGTCCAAGATGCTCTAGGACGAAGCCTGAGCACCCCACAGTTTAGGCTGTATATCACCTTCTGACAGAGGGGAGATACAGATGAGCTCTTAGGCAGAAGCTCTTCCCTGTGAGGGTGCTGAGGCGCTGGCTCAGGGTGCCCAGAGAAGCTGTGGCTGCCCCATCCCTGGCAGTGTTCAAGGCCAGGTTGGACACAGGGGCTTGGAGCAACCTGCTCTAGTGGAAGGTGTCCCTGCCCGTGGCAGGGGCTGGAACTGGATGAGCTTTAAGGTCACTTCCAACACAAACCAGTCTATGGCTCTATGATTCTGCTAACACTTTGGATGCAGACTAGAAGCTCTCTCTCCTGCCATGATGGTTAGCCAGTGAGGCTGAGAGAAATGTATTCATCTGACCACTCCTCTCCCTCTGCCTTTTGTATGCTCTGGTGCTGTTTAAAGCAGGACTACCACCAAACCCAGCACAGCTCCCTGCTGTTTCAAATTAAGCAGCTTGCAACTGATGGGCCCAGCCATGTGCTTAGGGATAAACATCTGTGCAAATATTTGCAGATGTGGGACCCTAATCTAGAGAACAATGTCAATCCCAGATACCATTTTGTTTATGAGTGTCAGTCCTGGGGCATTACTGAAAGCCCAAGGAGAAAGTCCGTGTTTCAAGATGCTTACAGTACCAAGGTCCTATCCCACAGCCTGTCTCAAGCAAGCAGCCTTTTACTCACGAGAGCAGTCAGAATCTACTATGCAACTAAAATCACCAGCTGCCATAGGATGGATGTGTTTTGCAAACAGAATTGGAAGTTGAAAACATGCAGGCATGCAGAAGTCCTGGCACTTTGCAGGACAAGAATTTGTAAATGCTTTGGCCAGCTCTAAGTCCATCCACAATAAAAACTCATGGGGACTGGCTGTGTATGGAAAGAGAAGAGAGAAAACAAACTGCTGCACAGGCCTGCTTTGCTTGAGAAAGTGAATTACTCGTCTCATTAGCTTCATGCTTTTTACGTAGCATGTTCCTTTCTAC